TCACTGCAACTTTTCTTAAAAACATTCAGATGGTTCCTATAGTTTTAGATTAAAATTCAGTGTTCTTCAGTATCTAGTCTCACTTTGCAGTCCTCATGTCCCAGTTAGGTAATACCATTTTAGTTCCCTCAAATACACCACCATCAGATATTTATCATCAGCTAGATAATAGTGCCTCTGATTAGAAAGAATGAGTTAATACTTATTCATTCTTCAAAATGTACTAACTTTAAATTTCTTGGGAATCCATCCCTGACTCCTCAATCTAAATGATGTATCTTCCTATTGATTTCAAAGCAGCTTGCTCCTATTATCAATCATACTATATTCTAAATGTCTATCTTCCTTCATCCCACAGCATACAAACTACATACTTCAAGTAACATACCCTCAGTCCCTCCAGACTTCACATGACAAATAAATGGATGCTGTTTGAACAAATGCATGAACCCCACAATTTCAATACAGTAGTAACCTCCCACATCAATCTTGAATCCTAACCTACCTACCTCTTAAGTGCTAGATCTCCTTTTCCAACTTCCTAATGGCTCTCTCCATTTGCATGCCTGCTTAATAGTTTTTAAAAGAAATTTTTTAGCTTCTCCCATTCTTTTCCTCACCTGTTCAATATCTGTTTTCCCCCTGCTATGTTTTCAATGTTTCTGTCCTACCAAAATTCATGCTGGAATCTAACACCCAGTCTGATAGAATTAAAAGGTAAGAGCTGGGAATGATGATGAATATCTGTACTCCCAGCTCTGTGGAAGGCTAAGGCAGGGGGACCGTAACTTCAAGACCAGCCTGGGCGACTCAGCAAGATCCTGTCTCAAAACAAATATTATTTAAAATAGATCCTTTAGGGCAATGATTAGGTTACTGGGGATCCACCCTCTTGAATGGAAGTAATACTCTTACAAAAGAGACATGAGAGAGCTCCCCAGCCCTCTTTGCTTCCCACCCCTTCTAACATGTGAGAACATAGCTTTCTATCCCTCCAGAGGATGCAGTGTTCAACGCGACACCTTGGATGCAGAGCTCAGCATTTCACCAGAAACAAAACTTTCTGGTGCCTTGATCTCTAGTTTTCCAGCCTCCATAACTGTGAGCAACAAATTTAGGCCACTTCTTTACATTACCTCATCTCAGAAATTTTGCTACAGCAGCACAAACAGCCCACAACACACCTTGAATTCCTATCTCAACTCAATGATGTCCATCTAGTTTCCCACTCTAAAAACCTCAATATCTTTCTCAAGATTTGTACTTTCATTACATGATCGATTGTTTCTTCAAAGACCTGGTAATTCACCCTAAAATAATCCTCTAATTCTGAATTACCTAGTATATTTTTAGTCCCCAATCTCAAAAGCATTTCTTGCGTTAATAGGAAAAACAAGATTCACTAAACAGATTTCTGAAGTATTTCTCAGAGCTTTCAATATATTACTGATCAGTAGGAATCTCTAAGAAGGAAATATAATGTGCATATTTTTTCAAATTTATCTGACCAACAAACATTAAAGTGAAGGACTTAAGACTGGTGTTGGAAGACTGCACTTTGGAGAAATGCTGATGAACCCTCTCTACTCCACCCTTCATACGTCACTGCTCCCCAACACAGGCCCCTGCCATCCTCAACTGGACTCTTTCTCAGACAGGCCCTTTATTTATCTCCTTATTATCATTCTCAATTCTGTCTCTGCTGTCAGTTCTATTTTCCTAATAGAAATATCTGCTCATACTTCTCATTGTCCTCACCCATAGCTTTAAACTCACTATTGGCTCTTCATACATACATTCAAACCCTAAACCTGCTTATGCTCTGTCAGAATCTAGCCCCACACATCTTCCCAACTTCATTTCCTACCACACTGCCTTTTTCTCAAACTGTCTCATGATTGCTCACCTTTCAGATCTTTAATACATTTGGCTCCCACTGCTCAATATGGTCTCTCTCCTTCCTACCCTGCCACTAAACAAACTTCTCCTTAAAATCTATTAGTAATGAGATCTCCTCTCATGAATATTCATTCTGACCCTTGCTTTTCACTTCTCAGTGTTTCCATAATGCTTTACACTTACCCCTATTAGCACAATTACCACACTGTCGAATAAGAGATTACCTTGTGTTTATCCCCATTACTTTCTGAGCCTTTTTAAGCTTTGGTTCCCCAATTCCTAATAGTGCCTGGCACAGATCAGGTACTCTTTGTTGAATAAAAAAATACAAATAAATGAATGCATAAATAGCCTTAGAAATAACTAAGAGGAAAACTTAAGATGTGACTTTGAAAGCTATAACTAAAAGTTGGCTACAAGGAGTCATTTATTTAAAACAGTACTGTCAGGAAAACAACAGCACTCTGCTTAAAACCCCAGTTTCTACCTTACTATGTTTCTGATAAAGAACATACCTTTGCTATCATTTGTCTTAAGGGAAATCTCCACAGCTCCCAAAATCTGTGTAGAGCTTTGAGGGAACATACTTATAAACAGCTTTCCTGTCCTGCCTACCTCAGCCAGGAGAATTCAGGTCTAAACACAGGACTTATCTAGCAACGGTGAAATGAACAGTCTCAGGTTGTATACCAGACAGAACGCCACTCTTGGAAAACACACAGCCAGCATTTGTCCCTGCACTTCCCTTTCCCACTAGGCTGGTCTCTTCTCACTACCTGGCACTCCCCAAAGGCTAGCAGCTTGTCCACTGCGCCTGTTCACCTCTCATGACAAAGAACTTCCATTCCACTTTGGCCTGTTGGCTTGCTGAGTTTCTTGGCACCACTCACAACTTACCTCTTGTAATCAGATCTAGAGACCAGTCTTTTGCTTTTATATTAAAAAAATGTGGCTCCTTGGAAGAAGTTTGTCCTCGAGGAGGCTCGCCAGAATGTCGACTTTTGGAGCACTCCTTGGAAAAACAAATATGTCGGAGTGCTGTCGGGTGTTCTCGGAACACATCAACATCAACTGTTCCCTTTTTCTTAATATCCAAAGATACATATTTGCTAGATTTTGGTTTTTGGTGTTTATTCCTAAAAACATTTATAGAATGAACTTGAACTTTATTCTATAAACAGAACAAAATTAATTTTTAAAATTAATTTTATTACTCATTACTCAATTATATATCACTTTTATCAATAAATAAAACTGTAAAATAAATTCATAAATTATATAATAAATTTCAATTGTTAAATTTATAAAGTTAGATCTTTAGTAAACATATTTTACAATGTTCCTTACTGTATAAGACATTTACTGTACAGTATATGACAGGAATCGGCTAAGTCAGATGTTACTCTATGTAGCTTTCCAAAAGCCCTTTCCAAACATGAAAGTTATATTCCACTTCAAAATAAATGTTAGTTTTAAAATAGTAACTTTGTTTTCACATGTGATATTTTTAAATATAGACTCAAAGTCCATTTAAAAATAGGAGTTTTCAAATAGACATATAGGAATTTAATTATATTCAGTCATCTCTGAAGAACTCTTAAATGTCTATAAAATGCTAACATTCCCAAATCTCTCTCTCTTCTAAATTTGGAAATGAATACGCATACATGGAGAAAAGCTCTCAAGAAAATCGTATTGTTAATGGGATATATATTGCAAATTGATTTAATCTTTTAATTTCTTCCTAATTTTGATCAACATGAACAAGAGAAAACAAATTCAGCTCCATGTCTTTGACAGGTAATTATGCAAACAATTATGACTGCTCTATAGAAAGAGCTATTACTCTCCAGCCCTCCCCCCAATAAAAATGCTTTGAAAAATTCAAATCGTTGCCAATTCAAATTATTGTCAACTCAAAATGTCCTTAGGGTTTTAGTACCCTAGTATCACGTTTAGCTGGGCAACTTAAGACAGAATATTAGGCTGTTGGCAACTTGACCTTCTTAAAGCAGGTCAAGTGTCTAAGGGACCTGTGTCTACCTCTGAACATTGTGAATTGTTTCTTTCATGTACCTATTTGTGAAATTAATACAATTGAAAATAATTTTAAATTTTTCTCTTTTTTAGAGAAAAAAAATCAGTCAAGTAATGTTAACAATGTTGATTACAAGATTAAAAACACCTATGGCCAGTAGCAGTGGTGGCGAACCTAAGGCACATGTGCTGCAGCCAACTCTTTGTTATCACTGAAAGCTCTAAAAGGTTAAGGTTTGCCATCACAGGAAGGGTCATTCAAAAAGACATAAGTAAAAATCAAAATCCCTCTTCCCACCAAAAAAAAGTGTTAAAACATTTATAATCATATTTGAATTCTGTCAAAGCTTTTTTAAGTATTCAAAAGGAGAATAAGCCAAAAGTGGAATATAATTCTTATGTTTGTGAGTCAATCTCCTTTCCTCACCTGTGTCCCCAAAGGTCCATTTGTCACAAAGCTGACCCCTCCCCAAGTTACTCTGTGGATCCTTCTATGCCATCCCATCCCCTTTTGCCCTCTTTGCTCACCTTCCAAACCTACGCTATCCAGTAGATACTTAATTAGTGAGGCAGAGTGTTTGTCCCTTGAGATACAACATACAAAAAAGACAGTCTATGTCCTTGAATAGCTACCTGCCTGGCAGACAGACGGTTCTAATGCAAACCCACGTGGGGGAAGACACAGGTAAGGGCATCAAACTAAGGGCACAAAAGATATGCGTAGCACAGTAGATTTTTCACCTTAGCTCATCCAACTAGAACTCAAAGGTTATTTATTAGTGTGTTATAATTCATCAAAAGAAATTGTCAAAATTGTTTTGCATGTACAACTAAATATATATGAAGAATTAAATAATTTGTAGAACTAAGTAATCTTATTTTTAAATGTCATTTAAAATCAATTTTTTCAGCTACTAAGTATTTCATTTGCTCCCCTATTAAGAACCTATCTCATGCTAGGATTCATGCAATCCTTTGGAACAACCATTGTAGTACACAAAAAATAGTTATCATTAACTAATAACAATTAACAATATTAGATAAATGAAAAGCCGTAACCTCATTTATTTTCTCATAATGTTGAGCAATGAGAGTGTTTGCTTCTTGAAGAAAATCTTGCCTTGTGATCTTTAAAGTAAGACCTAAAATAGAAACAGAAACAACTTATGTTTTTTAAATGTAGTTATTTATACTTTCTCAATCAAAATTATTAAACTAAAATTTAGGAGAAGTTATGAACCTTGCAGAGTGTTATAAAAAGTGAATTTTATAAGTAGACACAAGTAGATGTAAAAGAAGTTAATATTATGATTCTTTAACATAATATTTTGCTATTTAAAAGGAAAAATCCACTTGTAATTGTCACAGTGATTAGATTTTCCTAAATTATTTAATCCCAGGGAAGCCAAAGATAAAGCTCAAATATCCATCTGTGTTGAAAATTCTGTAAGTATTATTTTATAGAAGGTACAACAACATATTTTGGGCATAAAAGTTTTTAACAAGTTTCTTTACATTCCTTCAAGCTTTTCTTTACATTCCTTACAGTTTGTTGATAAAATTATATTGCAAAATAAAATGCCTCAATACATTTACTAAGTAGGAAAAGTGATGAAATAAAAAATATACCCACACCTATATATAAGTAACATAACTTAACTCATCTCTATTTTTTTACCCTTATTTATATTTTATTACGTCATGAAAATAATACATTTATTTGGCAAAGTAATCTAGGCCCCAAATTGAAATAAAATTCTTCAGTGTATGGATCATTTTTAAAATGTAAAATCCCGAGTCGCGTGGAACATGCCGAATCAGCCCCCTGCAGACAAGCAGGTTTGCGCACGCCCTAGCGAGGTCCTGAGTCACACGGAACATGCCGAATCAGCCCGCGCCCCGGCAACAAACCAATTGACCCCCGCCCCCACTCCTCTGTACAGCCACATGGTTCCACACTACAAAGATGCAGAGGACACCAGACCACCAGACCACGGTACTGAGTCCCGATGCTCGCGGCCCAGAGGTAGGGGCTTCTGAGCTGCCATCCCACTGCTCCTGGTCCAGAGGAAGGGGCTTCCTGGTCACCATCCTTCCCACCGCTCCCAGCCCACAGGAAAGGGATTTGGGGCCACCATCCCTACCTCTGCTCCCGGCCCCTGTCCCACCTCTCCCAGCTCAGAGGAGATAATCCATGCTGGCGCCACCAGCTCCCCCCCAGTCTAAATGAGAAAACAAGTAAATAATTCTCAAAACCAGACTTCCAGATCACCTACAGCAACCCCAAAGGGAAATGAGATGGAACACTCTGATACTCAGCCACCTGGACCCACTAAACTGGCAACAAAAGGAGATCTGGAAAAAATGAAATCAGAAATAATTTCTCAGATAACAGAAGAAATTGTGCCCCTAGTGCAAGACATGATTAATAAATCTAGAGAGGAGCTCAGGAACATGATGGAATCA